ATAATGTTTATTTACGACTAATGTATAATGTACGTATTATATTTGTGATTTTGGCAGTATAATGACATATGTTATTCCTCCAGGGATTAATGACGAGTAGCGGGATTAATGGTCATTATTCCACAAAAGTGTCAGTGTCAAACGTGTAGTGCTTGTGGATTTGTATTGAAAATTATGAGACGGATGAAATTTGTTCATTGAAAATCTCAAATAAATTAATTTGTCGTAAATAAAGTAGAGTATACTACTCGCAATAATGGCTATTATTCCCTCGGAATGTTACTCCCTCGCCGCTAACGCGGCTCAGTTCGTAATAATCCTCGGGAATAATAGCTATCATTATTGACTCGTGGTATAATCTACTATTATTTACGAATGACATATAATGCAAGTATTATATTTGTGATTTTGGCAGTATAATGCCATATATTATTCCCGCAGGGATTAATGGTCATTAATCCCGCTTGCACACCAATCACAAAATTTCTCAAATTAAATAAGTAGTACTACCATGGAAACAATATACCTGAACAATCTCAAAAGTGTCAGTGTCAAACGCGTAGTGCTTGTGTATTTGTATTAAGACGGATGAACAACGAGCGTTTTTAAAAAGAAAATTTCAAATAAATTAATTTGGCGTAAATAAAGTAGAGTATACTACTCGCAATAATGGCTATTATTCCCTCGGAATGTTACTCCCTCGCCGCTAACGCGGCTCAGTTCGTAATAATCCTCGGGAATAATAGCTATCATTATTGACTCGTGGTATAATCTACTATTATTTACGAATGACATATAATGCAAGTATTATATTTGTGATTTTGGCAGTATAATGCCATATATTATTCCCGCAGGGATTAATGGTCATTAATCCCGCTTGCACACCAATCACAAAATTTCTCAAATTAAATAAGTAGTACTACCATGGAAACAATATACCTGAACAATCTCAAAAGTGTCAGTGTCAAACGCGTAGTGCTTGTGTATTTTGTATTAGACGGATGAACAACGAGCGTTTTTAAAAAGAAAATTTCAAATAAATTAATTTGGCGTAAATAAAGTAGAGTATACTACTCGCAATAATGGCTATTATTCCCTCGGAATGTTACTCCCCTCGCCGCTAACGCGGCTCAGTTCGTAATAATCCTCGGGAATAATAGCTATCATTATTGACTCGTGGTATAATCTACTATTATTTACGAATGACATATAATGCAAGTATTATATTTGTGATTTTGGCAGTATAATGCCATATATTATTCCCGCAGGGATTAATGGTCATTAATCCCGCTTGCACACCAATCACAAAATTTCTCAAATTAAATAAGTAGTACTACCATGGAAACAATATACCTGAACAATCTCAAAAGTGTCAGTGTCAAACGCGTAGTGCTTGTGTATTTGTATTAAGACGGATGAACAACGAGCGTTTTTAAAAAGAAAATTTCAAATAAATTAATTTGGCGTAAATAAAGTAGAGTATACTACTCGCAATAATGGCTATTATTCCCTCGGAATGTTACTCCCTCGCCGCTAACGCGGCTCAGTTCGTAAATATTCCTCGGGAATAATAGCTATCATTATTGACTCGTGGTATAATCTACTATTAAATATCTTTGAAAAACATTATTGAATAATTTGATACTTGATATTTGTTCAATTTTAGTCAAAACTCTTTAAATCTGGTACTATATTATGATTTATTTGCAAAGTCACACAGGATTCTGCGGGATCCCGCAAATACCTGGATCCCGCAGGATTGGAAATGTCCAGTCCCGCAAATACCGGGACTGGAATTATCTTGCGGGATTGCATTCCCTAGTTTGTAACTTGACAAGAAAAGTTAAGTTTAAACCGAAATAATTTAATAATTAACATTATTGTTTCAATAATTCTCAATGCTGATATTTGTGTAAGTGTGACAGCTTATAATTTGAAAAGTGAAACCTTCTAAACTAAAATGCGTGCGAAAAGTGCACTTTTACGCACGCTCGTAGAAAAAAATTAATGTAATATGTGCCTAAGTTGGAAACCTTACTGCAGTTGTTTCTCCCATTTGCAGATAGACTTTATAGACCTCCATTCACAATTTTATTTGTAGCTACACTAGCTACCTAAGGAAATAAATATACCATTAGTTCGATCACCGTTCCCCATTTAGGACCATCTATAGGTACAGTCGTGAGCATTAAAAGTGGGACACCCAACTGACAGGTCTTGTCATTTTTCGCTATTTTGGGTGAATCAGTCTTTTCTCTACAATGGATTTTTTGTCAAATATGACAATCCCTGTATAGCTGGTGAGCTCGTTTTACAATAGGAAAAATCGTGTGTCCCACTTCTAACTAATGCTCAGGACTGTACAGGGTGGCCCATTTTCGATGTTTTAATGGGCTATATCAAAAACCGGCAGATATATCAAAAATCTGGGAGCACATTCTCGAGCTCTTTTTTTGAGAAAATAACAATGGCGAAAACAAATCACGGCTAACTTGATGCGTTTAGGAAATACAGGGCACTTTTCAAATTTTGTTCAATTTTAAAAGACCTTCTAATTTCCCTACTATTCAAGGTATCCAAAAACGAAAAATAATTTCTATAGGCAGTTTTTTAAGTAGAATCCAGTGGCATGACCAATTTTTTTCCAGATGCCACCGATTTTGAAATATTGACCAAAGTTGTGTTTTTTTAAATGGGACACCCCGTATATTATTTTTTCATTGAATAGCTCTTTGTGAGCTGATTTCATTGATATAAGGTTTTATACCTTTACCTTCAATTGTTTTGGAGAAAAAAAATAAATTCCGTTTTTCCATAAGAAACAATGAGTTAAAAAGAGATAGTTGACCTATGAATCGGCTACAAAATTCTTAATTCCTAATTTAATTTTTCAGTTCAGCTAATTTTTTTTAATTTGAACTATTATATGAATCGGGGGTGATAAATAAGCAACACAATTTATTTAATGACATCTCTCTCTAGTTCACTGTTTCTTATGGAAAAACGGAATTTATTTTTTTTTCTCCAAAACTATTGAAGGGAAAGGTATAAAACCTTATATCATTGAAATCAGCTCACAAAGAGCTATTCAATGAAAAAATAATATACGGGGTGTCCCATTTAAAAAAACACAACTTTGGTCAATATTTCAAAATCAGTGGCATCTGGGAAAAAATTGGTCATGCCACTGGATTCTACTTGAAAAATTGCCCCCAGAAAGTATTTTTCGTTTTTGGATATTTTGAATAATAAGAAAATTAGAAGGACTTTTAAAATTGGACAAAACTTGAAAAATGCCCTGTATTTCCTAAACGCATCAAGTTAGCCGTGATTTGTCTTCGCCATTGTTATTTTCTCAAAAAAAGAGCTCGAGAATGTGCTCCCAGATTTTTGATATCTTTGCTGGTTTTCGATATAGCCTATTAAAACATCGAAAACGGGATACCCTGTACAGGGTTATCCAACGAAAGTGCTTTCTACCTTATATACCTGTTAATTGAAGAGGTACAAAAAAATGTTAAATATAAAAGTTGTTGGGATTTTTATGAGAAATTAAGAGCATTTATTTAAAAAAAAAAAGGACAGGCGCGTTTAGGAAACATAGCAAGAAATTTCTATATAGTCCTATAGTTAAATGTAGCAATTTTGGAGATATCACTTATTAATGATTTTTCAAAATAAATTACGAAAAAAATGATATTTCATCGTTGGAAGCTGGTAAGAGTAGTAGGTTCCCGTCTAATCTTGCTTATTTCTATTGTTTTTAATTATTATATCGAAAATGTGTCCAATATTAGATGAAATACGCTAAATTTTGCTTTAATCCAGCCTCACCTTTTACCAAGGTAAATTACGTAAAAGGTGAATCAGGAGAAGCTGAATTTAAACAAAATTTTGCATATTTCATCTAATATTGAAGACATTTTCAATATAATGATTATAAACAATAGTAATAACTCATTATAATGCCAAAATCAGAAGTATAATACTTACATTATACATTAGTCGTAAATAATAGTAGATTATACCACGAGTCAATAATGATAGCTATTATTCCCGAGGAATATTTACGAACTGAGCCGTATGAGCGGCGAGAGAGTAACATTCCGAGGGAATAATAGTCATTATTGCGAGTAGTATACTCTACTTTATTTACGACAAAATAATTTATTTCAGATTTTTAATAGCAAAATTTCATCCATCTCAATACTAATCCACAAGCACTTCACGTTTGACATTGACACGTTTGAGGAATAATGACCATTAATCCCGCTACTCAAAGTCAAAGGCCTTGGACAACTCAAAATGCAGTCCTGTTACCAAAATCTAGCTACCTTCTCATTATGATGAATTTTTTCCATTATGAATTTAATAGTGATATTGCCAGTTGATCTTTTTGTACTAAATCCAAATTGGCTGGGTGAGACTATATTTTGATGATCTATAAAATTTATAAGGGATGGTTCTAATTCTGAACTATTTAATAAACTTCCGGTAGCGTATGATGATTTTTGCAAAGAAAGCCTTGGATGAATTTTATGTTGATTATATTACTAGTTTTTTCTTCAAATCCTTTTCGGTCGAGTAGGTATATGGAATTTTTCAGGCAGGGTGGTATATCAAGTGTTATGACATGCTTTCCCATAAACAGGAGCCGTAAGCAATAAGGTCGTAAGCAATATTATCTTTAATACCCCCCAAAGTTATTAAAAATGTTACAACACGCCTATATAGACCCAGCCACACTCAAAATTGCCTTAGGTGACAGAAAAAATATGAGACCCTCGGTTACCGCATTCAATCAATGAGAAGAGGTCGAAGAGGAGTATGACTCAAAAGTTACTGCAACCTTCAGTTTTGATAATCAGCACATTTTGACAAGACCTCATTAGGAATCTGCTGGCGGTAATGTTTATTTTGACTATATTGATATAAAACTCTGGTAATTAGGAAATACGCTACCTATATACTAATACTTTTATTGTGGTCTATTACATAATTTAAAACCTGGGAATAAATTTGGCTCTATATTTCTCTGGAGTCATGGAAATCCCTGGTGTCTGTTTTCCTGTAGGTTTCTTCCAACTTGCATGGTGTTCAATTTTATATTTTCTAAGAATTTCCACAAAAAACAGAAATATACACGATTTGGCCAGTACATCGCCCAAACATTTTCTTTTTCCTAGTCCAAATGTCAATACCCTATCTTGTCGTATAATGCTGCCATTTTCGTCCAAGAATCTTTCCGGTCTGAAGTTTTCTGGGTCTTTCCAGTAATCTTGATCATGATGAACTGAATGTAAGTTTACCAATACCGTTGTGTTTTTTGGTATGATATATTGATCTAAATAAGCCTGCCTTAAAGTCCTTCTTATACCAGCAACTGGCATGACTGGAAACATTCGCTGACATTCCAACAAAACTGCTTCTATATACGGCGCCCGTTGCCTATCAGCATAATAGACATCTTCATTTTGCCTGAACTCATGGTCAATACAATCATGCACTTTCTTCTGTACTTCGGGAAAAAGGATCATTGCCAAAAATGCAAAACTAATTGTGTCACTTGTAGTCGTAGAACCAGCAATAAAAATATCTAGACAAACCATTATTAACTGATCATCTGTAAAATAACTTTCTTTTTTATCTAATCTTTTTATTTCTCTTAAAAAAGCATAAATAAAGTCATCAGTCCTATCTTCTGTCCAATTTGCTTTATGTTCATTTACTGCCTGACTGATGAAATCTGTGATCTCGAAATTTATGATTCCTAATAAGTTGTATCCAGATTTTTCTGGTATAATAAAGCGAAGCCATGGATAATTATTTAAAGTACCACCGGCTGCATCAAAAGCTGTAGTTCTTTTTTTGAGAAGCTCTAGAAACTGGCCCACTTGGTAATTATCTTCCAAACCTTGGCCACAAATTAAATTCCACAAAATATTTAAAACTGATATTGGCAGTGCTGCTGCTAAATCCAATCCTTCTTCCCTATTTTCAAAAAGGCTAATAAAATGTTCTACTTCTGCTTTCACCATTTTCTCCATATAATCTTTCCCGAACCCAAGAGCTCGCAGATGTGAAGTGAGGAATGCTCTTTGATTTTTCCATAGATCACCATCTGTTCCGGTTATACCTAATCTTGCTCCCATAGTACGCAATCGAAAAAAGAAATTGTCCGGTCGTCCTAAGAATTCATCTGATGTCATCACTTGTTTGACACTTTGGTAAGAACAGGCACATACAATTCGTTCCTGTCCCAATTTCAATCCTACGACATTAGTGTCATATCTTCTAGAAAGTTCTTCAAATGCCAAATGCTGCCCGCCATAATACTTGGCTAATTTGCGCAGCTCAGGCCCATGTCCGATTAGTGGAATCCATCGGGGGCCTGAAAACAGTAACAAGTTGAATAGAATTATGGTTTTGAATGAAATTTTATTTTTCTACATCAATGTGCAAAAAAAAGACATTGAGCTTAGAGGAACTCGATTATGGTCCTCTTGTATAGTAACGAAACATACAAAGCTATTTGTTGAGGGATGAGAGATCCTGACTCATACCAATTTGATTTAGCACCTAATTTACGAAATGTTACACCTACCTGGTGGGTACTTTGTAGGTCGTATCCATTCATTTTTAATAAACATCAAAACTAAAACAACGCAGCAAACGATAACCAATAATAAAATCAACATTTTCAATACTTATGTGAAAAGAAATGATACTAGCAAAGTCTAATACAAGTGTTGTGGAGTTTCCACAACTTTGAAACTTGAGGTTTGCGAAGAAGGTTCTGGGTCGTATCCGGCGTAAACAAGAAAAAAAACAAGTTAAATCCTTAGATCACTACTAGAATTTATTACTTAATTGGTTGAGAAAATTAATATACTGAAGCCACTGTGCGTATATTGTGTGACGTGAGTAGCAGAGATTAATACATGGTTATGTGGAAATTAACATTACTACTACTGCTGCTTGCTTAGCGACAAACAGTTTCGTTGCCAATCTAGTCACGTGACAAAATGATGGTTTAAAATTATAAAGTAACCTACTTTTAGGTGGCAACCACGGTTTGCTGCTTCAGCATTCAGCATTTACTAGAAAATAGAATATAATAAGTTGCATAAAATGTATTACAATGTTTTATGTTTAAATATAATTATGACTTAAAATGAAGGCTTAAACTAAGTAAAGGACAATCAACGATAATTGATATTGACCAGTGGCGGCCCGTGACAATCCAAACTGGTGAGGCCCATGGCCCATCAAGTTAACCCAAACAAACCCAAACAAAATTTTCAAGTGTTACGCCCAAATTTTGACCCAAAATTTCATTAAAAGAACATCTCGGATATTTTTTTTTGTATATTTCTAATGAAAATTTTCATTTCTTACAGTTGCAAAACAACAGCGGTAGGTACATAATTCTTATTTAAAAACAAATATTGAGTTTCAAATTAACAAAATAAATTCCAAAAAACAGTTTTTTAACCCGCAACACACCAAAATAAAAAGTATGAGCCAAATTAACCAATTAAATACTTGTCGCAGCAGCAAGAGATGCAAGGTTTCTTATTAACAAGCCCAAAATTGTGCGCCTCAATGCCTATGAAAATTCGCTATCGTCTCACCTACAGTTGAAGGGTTGTGGTGGGGAGTGCCGTGGCATCGCTTCGGCGTTCTGTGACGCACATGAGGCCAAAATTTTTGGGATTGCTATTTTATTTTAATGCTGTCCGGCAACGATTTGAGCGCCTATAAGGATAAATAGGTAGAAGCGCGCGCTAAATTCAAGAAATATTATTATATTTTAATGAAAATTCGATGTTTTGATTCTTTCAATGATTGAAAATAGTTGAAAAACGTTAAATATTTAATGAATATTATTTCAAAATTTTACATCATTATTGTAATTTTTACATGTGAGGCCCGGCCTCAGTTGCTTTATACGACGAGCCGCCACTGATATTGACTTTACAACATCCGTCCCTCCTAAGAATGAAATTTGTAACTGGGGTTACGAATTTCACCAAGATTAGAATTACAAACTTTGGAATTACTATCAGCTATTTCGTTAAACTGGACGTCAGCGGTTTTGTCTATTCGCGGCACTCGCGTTGTTAAACAGATGCTTTCAGCGGTTGCACTTGGAGTTTCACATTTCCTTTTGTCTTGATTAACGCACATTGTTTTATATTTCTTAAAACCTACGTAACTTACAATTAAAAACACTACTAAATATACTAGAATATAATGATGAATATGGTTAAAATCAATAGATTTTTGGTTTAACATCTTTTGTTCCTTTGCTTTTAATACATCGATGGAATAACTAATTTTTGCTAATTTTTCATTTTGATCAGGAAGTACTAAAATACTTTTATTCAAGGACAAAGTTTCCATGAAACTGAAACGAAGATGTTGATTATTGATTTCATTTTTAATGTCAAGATTTTGAAAATAAATTGTGTTTATGAATGACTCATTTGCTTCTTTGGTATCAATTGGCTTTAGCGTGACAGAACTTGTAAAAGCGATACAGTGCGGTGCAAGTTCTAAAATGCCTGAATTGTTTAAACGAATAGAGTCTTCAAAATTTTGACACTTTATTGTGAGAGTTTCATCGTTTGGACTAACAAAAATCCAAGAATTTATTTTCAGAATTTTGATAAAAATTGTTTTATGAATGGCACTAACTCGTTTTTCACAAGACTCAGGAATTTTCTGAGGATGAGTGTACAACAGTGCCTCACAATCATTATGTATTGGTAAAAGGAACAAGGGATATTTTTCTTTACAAACGTACTTATTATCTATTCTTGAACAATCTTTCAAATCATTGTTATCAAGAAAAAAATAGTTTCGCTTAAGACTATCTATTACTAAGTAATGGTGTTCTGATGAAATAAATGAGAATATATGAGAATGTTTATCATTATTCACTTTTATAGGTAAACTTGTCATCTTAACGATATTGTACGAAATATCACTTACAAGGGGTATGTATAAAATAAAGTACAATTTATAATTTGAGTAAAACACATTTGGATGCATTGTTTTATACAGGTCATGAGAATAATGATGATAGAGAGGTACCGGAAATGATAACCCTTTTGGTAAATACATGCTTTGCTTAACTAAATGGTTTATGAGCCTTTTTGGACTTAGGACTAAAGGATGTAAAATACCATTTTGAGCATACAAAATTATGTTTAATAGATCACTTTGGTAAAACTGGAACTGTTCGGAGACCAGTTCGAATAGAGAAAAATACTCAGAGAACTGTAATGCAAAATTTTCATATGAAGTGATATTATCAATAACACCTTTTATGTGATCATTGATGAAAGTTTCAATTTGATTGACTTTTCCGTTTAAATTTTCAAAAATTTGTTTATTTGCTTGATTTGATGAGTTGAGAGATAGAATGGTATTTTCAAAAATACTTGTTTGTTCTGACAGTAAGTGTTGCATATTTATCTGATTTGTTTCCAGTTTTTGGAGAATTTCGTTGAAATGTTTAGCATCATTTTCATCTAAGGTTCCAAACAAAACCTTTCCAACATTGCCTACGGCATTGACTAAACCTCGTTTGGTTCGATTTAAAAATTGCTGGCTATTTAGAATTTCTCCAATTATACTGTTATTATCTTGAACACGGTGAAGAACACGACTTATCCGATTAAATAGGCTCTTTGCCATAATGCAAGGTTTTAAATATTCCTTTTGAGAATCTCTCAAATCGCAAAGTTCTACCATTTTTTTATAACTAAAAATAAAATTATCGTAGAGGTCATAATAATTTTCTAAATCTATAGAATTAATCAACTTCCATGAACTAGTTTCTAAATGAACTGTATCAAAAGATTCGTACAGGATACCCAGCACTTCTGTTGACTGCCTGCAAGGTGAAAAATTTCGTTTTTGTATCGCCCAGTATGCATGCGAATGAAATGGAAAGAATTGCTAGTAAGTCTTTCATCTGAAACAAGAATAAAATGACTACCTTGAGTTATATAATTTTAATCGGTTATTATGATCCTTTTGATGTTTATTTTTGACTAAAATTGTTGAATTTATTTCTGAATTTGCTTTAATTACTTTATAGGGGCCATTCCAAATTGGTTCTAGTTTTTTACATTTTCCTTTTGCGTTTGATTGGTTTTTAAGTAATACCATCTCACCCTCCTCAAAAGTGACTGGATTAATAGTTTGGTCATAAGTGGTTTTTGATTTTTCTTTAGAATTGATAAGATTTTGTTTAGCCAATTCATAACTATGTTGCAAGCGACTTTTTAGCTCGTTCGCATAATCGTCATAGTTGTAGTTTAATTCAGGAAGCTTTTGTAAAGAATTAGGAATTTCCGGGAACCCATAAAGAAGTTCAAAAGGAGTAAAGTTTGTGGCGGAATGAATGGAAGTATTATAAGTAAAAATTGCATAAGGGATCCATGTATCCCAATCTAATTGATCCTTTGTGACGAAATTTCGTAAATATTCGCCTAGACTTTTATGTGACCTTTCAAGACTGCCATTGCTTTGAGGTCTGAAAGCGATTGTTTGAATTTTTGTAATTTTTAATAATTTACAGACATTTTTAAATAATTCGCTTAAAAAGTTTTGACCTTGATCCGTTAAAAGATAAGTTGGAGTACCGTGTCTACAAATGATGTGTGAAACGAATTTTTCTGCAATGGTTTCGGCTTCTTGATTTTCAAGAGGTACAGCTTCACAAAATTTTGTTAGTTCATCTTGAAATGTTAGAATATATTTGTTTCGGGAATTTGTTACGGACAGAGGTCCCACGATATCAAGGCTTACCTTTTCAAAAGGTTTGGAGGCTGTAGTGGTGACAGTTAATGGCATCTTTGTGTATTTTGATGATTTATTCCTTTGGCATAAATCGCAAGATTTTACAAAATTTTTAACACTTTTATATTGATTGGACCATTTATACTTACTTCTTATTCTATTAAAGGTCTTATTGACACCTAAATGACCTCCCAGTGGAGAATCATGGAATTCTTTTAGGATTTTACGAATTTCATCCTTAGATTTAATTTTCATTAGATTATTATGATGAATTTCTACCAAATCTGAATTACCACGAAATATATATCTGAACATAATGCGAATGTTTTCGATTTGTAAACTTTTATACGGAGAATATTTCGTAGGATTAGAAAAGGCTATTTTATGGTAATCACCTGTATGTGCAAAAGATTTCAAACATTTAATTGCTTCGAAAATTATTTCATTCGTTACAATAGTATTAGGTTCATGCGTTGGAATAAAAACATAATTAATGTTATTTATTGTAATAAGAGTCGGTGTTAAAACGATTAAGGTGTCCGATTGCAACTTGCATTTTGCTTCGTCGTTAAGGTCATCGGGAAGTTGCGAATTGTCTTTACTTATGAAATAGGCACGCAAATATTCAGGG